CCCACAGCTCATTCATAAACCCCCACATAAGACTTCTGGTTGCAGAGTGAGTGCAATTTCTGGAAGGAAATAACATGCTATGTATACCTGTTTTAGCTCACTTTGGCTGACAGGCACATGTCAGCTTCAGGATTAATAAAATGTATTCTCCCTCAACTCTCCACATTGATAAAGTTAATGATATATTTTCTATTCCAGTAAAATATTCTCAGGGATCTCTGGGGTATACAGTGGGTGCGAATAATGTCAGTTACTGAGTCAATTTGTCCTCCCTCCCTAATTTCCTCCTTCAAAATGAGGTTGCTGCAGAAACTCAGGCACTAACATCCTGTTTCAATTTCTGAAGTTCTAAGGTTCTGCTATCAGGCTAATCTCCATACGATTCTGATTGGATGCAGACATTTTGCAATTTATTTTTTTCATTTATTTAAGTCAACAAATAGTTATGAGCAGCTCTTCCATTCCGTTCTGATACTAAGTACAGGGGATAGAAGAGTACCCAGGAGAGAAATAGTTCTCATCTTCTGGAAGGTTGGCATCTGTAATGACCACTGGTTTGAGATTTGTAGGATCAAAAAATGACTTTTTTATTGGCTTATTGACCAATGGTCCATTCTGACTTTGAGAATACAAGTCTTTAGCAGGAATTCTTTACTTTATCATGACAGGTTGCAAGCATCCTTCTAATCTAGACATTGCACTGATCCTACATGAATCTATGCCTTGTAGTAATAGCACCCTGATGATATGTGCTGATTGACTAGAAATAAACCATTTACTCCCCTGGCACTTTCATTTGACCCAACAACTCAGCATAATGGTCAGTTTCTAAGATTTAATTCTGTATTATCGTCAGAGCTGAGGGCATGAAAAAAAAAAGAAATAGAACTGGCTTAGAAATCAGCAGAACTGGCTTTGAGGCTGGTGCAATGATCTTACCTTATACCAGAGTCAATGTAATGAAAAGGTGATATGATGTGGTAACTTGGGAAAACATTGCTGGGTGTTCCTAGCCGTGGCTCTGGGTATTTAACTGAAATCAGGAAACTTCTGGGTTCTGGTCCTATATGGAAGGTGCCTGGAAGCCATTTTCTCAATATTCACAATAAGAAAAAAGCTGAACAAACTGAAAGTTAACATCTTCTTTTAGCTCCATGACAGAATCGAGGTCACAGAGAAAACTGTTGCCCAGAAACTAGGAGGCAGATCGGAGGATTCAGAAAATCACTGCCTATAGGGAGGATGTGCTGGAAGCAGAGATCCCAGGTAGAACCAGAATGGGCAGGAATAATGGGCTGGAAGATCAGTGTGGACCAGGTTTAGAGCTGAAATCTCCAAAGTTTCCCAGTCTTGGGCCTTCCATTTCCACGAGTTTACCAGCCTTACAGCAGGTTCTTGCAACACTGATCAGAAAAAGATGCCCCGAAGCTTAGGCAGGAGCTGTGGGAAAGCAGCCATTTTTAAATCCACTCAGACCTTCTGTTCTCTTTAACATGGGCAGCTCTTATGAGACACTGACTTACCAGGACCTAAACTACAGGGTTTGCCAAAACAGAGATCACATAAAGTGTGCTTTCAGACTTCAGTGGTATTAAACTGGAAATTAATCACAATATATGGGTGGAAAATCTCCAAATTTTGGGACATAAAAAAAAGCACACTTCTAGGTAACATATAGATCAAAGAAGAAGTCCCAAGACAAGTTAAAAATACTTTAAAAATACATGAAAACAAAAATACAGCCTATCAAAATGTGTGAGATATGTAGAGAAAGTGATTTGGGGGATGTTTACACATTGAACACATGTGTTAGAAAAGAAAAAAGTCTAAAATCCATAATCTAAGCTTCCACCTTAGGAAACTAGAAAAAAGAAAATCAAATTTAATCTTAAGTAGATAAAAGAAAACAGTATTAGAGCAGAAATCAATGAAATTGAAAATAGGAACACAGTAGAGGAAATTAACCTAACCAAAGCAGCTTCTTTGAAAAAATCAATGCATCTGATAAAATTCTATCCACGGTAACAAAGAAAAAAATAGAAAAACAAATTATTAAAGAAATTGAATAAAAAATTAATAATCTTGTCAAACAGAAAGAACTAGGCGCAAATGTTTTTTTTTTGGTGAAGTCTTATCAAACTATTATGGGAGAAATGGTACCCACTCCCCATAATCTATAGAGAAAGTAGAAGCAGAAGGAATGCTTCCTAACTTATTCTCAAGCCAGCATTACATGAATACCCAAACCAAAGACATTGCAAGAAAGGAAAACTATAGCTCAGCATCTCTCATAAATGTAGATGTAGAAATCCCCATCAAAATAATAGTAAATTGAATACAAAAATGTTTAGAAAAATAAATTATTATAATTTATTACATCAATAAAGCACAGAAGGACAAATCATTATCAATAGCTGGAGAAGATTTTTGACAAAATCAAATACCATTTAATGAAAAAAAGTTCTCTGCAAACTAGGAATACAAAGAAACTTCCTTATCTTCATAAAGAACATCTACAAACATGTTCAGCTAACATCTGAACTAATGGTGAGAAACTACATGCTTTTTCTCCTAAGATAGAAACTAGTGAATGATGCCCCCTCTGACCAGTCTTATTCAACATGATAGGACTGGACCGTGTAGCAAATGCAATAAGCCAAGAGAAGGAAATATAAATCATGCAGATTGGGGAGGAAGAAAGAAAACTTTTTGTTAGCACATAATTGAATATAAAATTAAAAAATAAGTAAAAAATTTAAATTTATAAAACTTTTACTACATAATAAAATGACCAATTACATATAAAAATACACAAAACCAAGGACCTAAAACATTTTCAACATGCTTATTTTTAAAATCTATTTCTGTTTGGACCAACTGTTATTTTCCTAAAAATCTGTAAAGGAGACATTTTAGGTTTTTTTTTTTTTTTTTTTTTACAAATAATTGGAATGCTACTGAGGAGTATGTGTATGTTCATACATGTAGGTTTAATTTTATTCAATAGAGCAAGTCTTTTGTTAGAATAGGTAAAATATTCAGGGAAAGATCCTTTCTGCAATCCCCAACATGTAGAAAGCAAAAGAAATCCTTTGTAATATGTTAGAAATGTAATAAACGTTACTTTAAGTGGCTTTTGGATGGATCTAACAGACTAATTTGAGTTTCTTTAAGCAAGACAAGAAAGGCTATTGCAGAACAGAACACATATGGTATAAACACCATTGTGGAAGGGCAGAGGAGGGTGGTGTATTGCCTCCCTACTGGTGTGTGTATAGACACACATGTGCATATACATGTATGCATGTGCATGTGTGTGGGTGCACACATTTACACATGTCCATTGTGAGTGTGTATTAGCTGTAGATAAGAATTAACTGGTCATTGTATGCTTACTGAGTGTAGAAGGCCTCAGCTTGGCTTTTCCATGTGGGAATGGAGGTGGGTGTTTGAGTTTCAAGACAGACAGAATGATTTATTTGAGTTAACTTTTTTTTTCCATTGTACTTGGCTCAGCCAATTTACAGCATTATTCTAAGCACCTAGGTCTAGTTGGTCCATGTAAAAATGGATTTCATTCTGAAAATTATAAAATCCACTTTTGCTGAGAGTATGGTTTTCTACTGGCTGAGATTTATGATGATGCTTTAAAGCTGATATCAATTTATTTTGAGTTTTCAGCAAATTCTTCTCATATTGCCAGGGAAACCCAAGTTGGAATGCACATGTGGAAATATCAAGATGAGGCTTTGAGATGCATTGGTTTTTGGGAAACTGAAAACAGTAAATAGTTAATTGAGTAGAAAATAGGCTTGGCAATGTTTTATTAGCTGGAGATAGAAGATAGACTGGACTATGGAACCAGTCTCCATGTATAGGAGAATTTACATTGTTCAAAACTCAAATCAGTGGCCAGTGACTGTTCTAGGTCAGTGATGAATCTGGCCTGGGTCCTTGGAAGACGTGCTGAGCTCATGTCCTGCGATGGCCACTGTGGACACTGCATGGGCAGACCTTCCTCTTTCTTGTGACCACCACCCATTCTCTGAAGTGAAAAAAAACTCGCAATGGCTCAACCTTGCAGCAGTATGTCAAGTTTGTTGCCCTACTGGGGTGTCTGCCAGTTGTGAAGAGGTCTTACTCTGGCCAATAAAATAGAGATTTCTCTCCTGGGAAGCAGATGAATCTCTCATTGCCTCAGACAAATTTGGTTTATAAAATCTTCTGGAGTTTCCTTATGGAAAATAAAACAGGAAATTACAAATAAACAGAATTCCTACACCATAAAAAGGTAAGAAGAAAGGAGACAGAAAAGTTTTCAGTAAAACACATCAATAGTGACAATGATGACAGCAATAGCCAACAATTACATAGTGATTACAATGTGCCAGGGAAGGTTCTAAGCATTTTAAACATAAAAGTCATTTCTTCACAAAATCCTGGGAGACTGGCAGTAAGAGCATGTCCATTTGACAGAAGAAGCCGAGTTATGGGGAGGGTCCATGACTGGACCGGCAGAGCACATCCAGCAACGGGCAAGAGCGAGCAGTTGGGCTTTATTATGCTGCCCTCCTCGCAGTGATTCTGCAGCCTTTCTGCAGGTCTGTGCCTCTGGTGTCTGGTTTACACTCACATAGTAGCACGCTAATGAAAATGTATATGTATGCATGTGTGCGCACACACACATAAATCTTCCCACATGAGCACACCCATGCATTCATGCAGTTTCATGAGATGCAGTTGTTCATAAGAGCAAGAACTGGGAGTTGGATCTGAGATGAACTCATCACTCCGTGTTTATCCGCTGGGTGGCGTGGGCTTGTGACTTAGACCCTGCACCTCTGCTTCTCTTACAGAGAAATGGGTTCAATAAAGGTTTTTTTGAGGGAATAAAGAATAGTAGCTGGAACAAAAAAGGCATTTAAAAAACTTGACAACTTTATTATATTGCTATTAATGGCATTTTTTTTGTAACTGAATACTTGTTCTTGGTTTTTCAGAGCTGGGGCCTTCAATCTGCTTTTCTGCCAAAACTGTCCCCGATATTCCTTCGTCCTTTTCTCTACTGGATGACTCACCATATTTGCAGTTGTCTGTCAGACCTCAGTATTTGCGATGCTTCTTCAGTTTTCTCTAGTTACCCGCCTGAACTCTATTTATAACACATGACACCAGCAAGGCACTCAACTCACTGCCGCATTCTCTGATGCTGTGTTGATTGTCCTTAAATCTTGCCAACATGGACTTGGTTGACCCCTGGGCCTGGCTGCTCAAGTGCGGGTGGGGGGCTTTGGGGGTTTATGTGACAAGAACCAGGCCAACCTCAAGACAAACCTTTTGGAGGAAGCTTTGCTTCAGGCCACGGCGTTTGGAGTTTTAATACTGATTCCACAGTTTGTTGGTCCTATTATGAGAATCAGACCCATTTCCTTTCTGGATATTTTACATTGCAACCTGACCACTGGAGAACAAAGCAAACCTGACTAGAATAAACATGGGCCTCTTTTTCCTTAATTATTTTGGAAAATTGCTTTTTTATTTTCCAATTAGAGAATGACATTTGATTCCCTGTTAACTGTTTTTATCTGATGTTTTGGCAGTCCCACAGTGGGATAGGGCTGCGGCCCGCAAGGAGGCTAGGTCTGTCATGTCCCCGCCGTATCCACTTTCTCCAAAGCATTTCAGAACTACGCTTCCTAACCACAGTGCTCTTCTCTACGTGGGCACTCGTCTCACAGCATAATTCTTACTAAACTCAGTATGGGAGGAACAGAACAGCATCTCAAAAGCCTTCCATGCTTTCTCTTTGCTGAGCCAATCCTACGTTAGATTCCTACTTACGGTCCGTCTGTGTCAGCTCCCCATTCATCCTTCCATTCATATCTTCCTGTCCACATGAGTCTGTCCTCCAGCTTCTGGTGCCTTATTTTTTCTACTATAGTGAGGTGTTTCCAGAGGGAGGGCAGGGTTGCACTTGACTTTTGGCTTTTTTCTTTTTTAGACATGGCGCCAGCACTGTGTTTTATAGAGTAGGGCTTTAAGTTGCCTTTTAAAAAATTGTTTGGAATAAAAGTAAACAAGCATAGAAAACGGTCATGTAGCCTGTGCTGTGTAGTTTTGTACCTGTCCTTTCCTGTAATTTTGTGCCGGATTTTCCTACAACAAAAAAACCTCCTCACCCAGCGATGTAGAAGCAGCAGAGTCGCCTCCAGAGAAACCAGAGGCACCTGGTGAACCAGGACAATGACAGCTGAGGGGGAAGGTGGGAGTGAAATTCCGAAATATCCTGGCAAGAATCATGATAATAGGGATGCCCAAGACACTTAAGGAAGAAATATTAGTGGAAAAAACAAGGCCAAAAATGTTACATTTAGGCATGTTTGATGCCAATCATGTGTGTTAAATAATAAAGCTCATTTCTTTGTTTTCTGTGTTTTTATTTTAAAGACTTTATTTATTGATTTTTTTTTGAGAGAGAGGAAGGGAAGGAGAAAGAGGAGGGGATCATCAATGTGACCCCCTGCTGGGGACCTGGCCTGCCACCCGGGTATGTGCCCTGACTGGGAATCGAACTGGTGACCCTTTGGTTCACCAGCCGGCGTTCAATCTACTGAGCCACACCAGCCGGGGCTGAAATTGGTTTAAAGACCATTTTTTTTGAGGACTAATTTTATGTTTATGAGGACAACACTCATCCCTGAGAGGCACAGGCCGCGCTGGTGCAGCCCGGAGGCGGGGCTCGCTCTGCGCATCTCAGGCAGAAAGGCTAGGAAGGCGGGATGGTGGCAGGAACTCCGGCATCTCGCTACATGCTCCACGCGAGGTAAATGGCAAAATAGAGATATAGGGGTTTCTTCTTAGACCTTATGTTGGGTGGTTTTAAAGACGAGAGTGGTAAGGTTGGTGATGCATTTTAAAATTGGCACCCTGGCCATCGTATGAGGGCTAGAAACAAGAATAAATAGAGAGGTACTTTCATTTATGAAAACAAATTGCAGTGGGAGCCAGAATTAGATGTCCACCTACAACAAAAATGAAAGAGGTACTATTTTTTTTTACCTCACTTTATATTCATGATAGCTCTATGGGGTCATTTTTTATTATAGCAGATGCCAATCTTAAGCCACACGCTTAGGTAGGTAAGAAATGTTACTTTAGGTATCCTGTCCTTATCACGAGTATTGGAGGTGTAATCCCAGTTAGCCAGGCAGATTCACGCAATGGCTCCTTCCCAGCCTCCGCCGCAGCTGGCAGCCAGTGTGCTGAACGTCGGCAGAGTTGACGCTGGGTCGCCGGGGGTCACCGGCTTTATCATCTCTTTTCTCAGCAGAAATCCTCTAAGGCATCCTGCTCCCTGTCCGTCCCTGCGAGGGGATTTACACAGGTCACATCCAATCCTTCATCTCTAATACCTGGGCCTCAGCTTTAAAAACTTCAAAGCCAAATATTTGCCTATTTTTTTTTTTTTTGCTTTGCTGCTCATGTTATAAAAACATTTCCTTGAAGCCAGGGAGGCCCCTGGGCCCAGCCGTTGCTCAGAGAAAGGCCAGAGAGTAACAGGCAGCACTGCAGAAAAACATTTTAGTTGACATTCCAGAATTTCACACGGGCACATTTTTGCACCCATGTTTGCACATGAGGAGACAAAGATAACCATATTATTTATCAAGTGGGGGAGTCATGAGAAAGTGTGAGAGGACAGATTTGGGGGGACACTTATATTTAAATTTAACTTTAGAAAAATGTGGTTGGGGGAAAAGTCATCTGTCTTGAGTAAGAAGCTAATATTAATACAAAATCAGATTGAAAAAATGCGCAAACAAGGGATCCAACCACAGTAATTGCCTGTTCAGAGTCTGATCTGAGCGGTGAAAAACTGCTCAAGTTCATTTTTATATCTCCATGTTTATCGCTGTGTTTACTTTGCCTGGTTGGAACAATGCTGCGGGCTCTTTTAACGTGACTTCAAGTGACATTTAATTTGTTGGGGAAAGGCTTGAATTGCATTTGGATATTTTTAAAATCATCACTTCTATGGCATTTCGGTGTAGATATACAAATCAAAACTAGAAATTAGTGGCATATTGTTTATACAAATCTTAAAACAAAAGATACTTACATTTCAGTAAATATCTTTATTGGAAAGCAATGCTGGATGGTTTCTTGATGTTTTACACAGTTAGGGAGATCATTATGGAGGCAATAATGGGGATATCCGAAGTTGGGGCTTAGGGCCATGGTCCTGTCATGTGACCATAGCTCACTGAACATGCCACTGAGATAAAGTTAACTCATACCCTCAAGCCTTAGTTTTTAAATTTCTGTTGCACAGATTGCCAAGTAGCATGTAAGATGCAAAGTAATCTGCTGAGGATCTGTGTTCATTCTCCTGGACTACATTTCTGTAATTATAGCTATTAAATTACACTCATAAAAGGTGGGAGAATGTAACTAGCCTCCATTCATTGGCAAGCTTGCTATCAGTGGTTAAAAATAACATCCAAAGGGAATAATTTAAGTGGATTCTGGGCTGTTTGCCGGTAAATTTATATGGCTGATGTCACCTTGAAGAGTCTTCCTTTCCCAAACAAGTTAAATTGCATTGCTGTGTGTGAAATATACACTTACGGAACCCTCTGTTCACATGTGACACATTGCAGACCTTGGGGGAATAGTGTGGGTGTCATACAGATCTTGCTTTTAAGAGGCATAGTGTCAAGTAGGAGATATTTGAAGACCATGGCAAGTTGTACATTAGCCTGAGGCAAACAATGGTTTGCCAATACTGACCCTGTCTTTATTTCATACCGCGATTGCCAATTTTATGTGTCCATTGACTGGGCCACAAGATGCCTGGATAGCTGGTCAAAGATTATTCTAGGTCAGAGATTTTTAATTGCTTTGCAGCAAAAAAAAATTTAAACAATGCCCTGACTGTTTGGTCAGGGGCATTGACCTCTTTCCCCTTAGACTGTCTGGTTAAAAAAATGGACACCAGCCAACACAATAGTTATCCAGTGTGAATCAATCAAAATTATACCTATTTTTCTGTCAGATTAGCAAAAAATATAATATGTATTTCAGCAAGCTGCAGATTAGTAATTAGTTTATGTGTTCTGTGAGATGAAAAAGATCGAAAATTGCTGTTCTTGGTGTTTCAGTGAAGGTGTTTTTGGATGAGATGAACACATTTAAATCACCAGTTTGAGTAAAACAGATTCCCCTCCCTCATGTGGGTGGGCCTCATCCAATCAGGTGAAGGCCCAAATAGAACCGAATATCACAGCCTCCTGCCTGATCGCTATTATCTCCCAGCCCATTTCTACTCTCCCTGCCTTAGGAAACTTGACCTCTCCTCGTGCTCTCATAGGACTTATCATTGTAAAACTAATAGTCCTTCTCACCTTGACATTTTACCTGGATGCTTACAAGTCCACCCCTCCCCTAAAATGTGGGGGAGGCTGAGAGTGGTGTCTTCATGGGTGGAACTTTTACCCTCATCTGTGCCTGTCCTTGGGGAGACTGGCTGGTGACTGCAGGACAGCTTGAAGGAGGATGTTATGAGTGTCATCACATGGGAACGAAAGGGCAGCTCAAGGCGGACCCCTAGTGACCTTTGAGTGTGGCGCCTGTGGTTTGGCATGTCTGGTGCTGAAGGACAGCAACACAGTTGAGGCTTTAGAGCCACATGTGTTGTGAAGTGTTAACGCAAAAAACAAGAGGTTCATACCCTTTGTTTTGTATGCAGTAAATATATGTAATCCACGTTGCTGTTCAGATTGAAAGATATGAAAAGCAATATTAAAAAGAACGAGAAACTTGAAAAAGTTGTAGCCAATTGGCATGGATTTCTAATTGCTTAATTTCACAGTTTACTGCATTGGGTTCCAAGAAATGGACGGCTCTGGGGCCCTGTCCCCGAAGACACTGGACCTCTAAAACACGATGGCGAGGAGCCTCACCACTGTCCCTGCCTAGCGGGTCGAGCTTGTGCCTGAATGGTTCTGTGCGGACCGACCGCGTGTAACACTCACTGCCCCGGCCAGTGCCCAGTTTCTGCCCATGTTGGGGTTGCTGTCCACACTGGACTCCCAGTTATTTCTTAGCACGCAGCCACCTCTGTAGCTCTCTGCGGCTTTATTTCACACAGGGAGCCTCCAGGAATACACTGTTCCCTACAAGGACAAATGTAGCACTGCTGGTCCGTGTCACTTGTCTTTGGTTCCAAACTTAATCTTAGTTGCACATCCTGGAAAATCGCCGCATAATGAACTCACAGATTTTGCTGAAAACTCCTGCATATTTCCAGGTTGGGTTTCATTTCCTTAAAAGACCCAATTATTCTTAAAGAGCCCAACACACTGTCTTTAATTTTTCCCCTAAAATTTTGTGTACCGCATCTGTCATTCTTCAAAGAAAGTAAAAGCTGCTCCAGATTCCTCGGCAGGGATTGTAATTAGCACGCGAGTGTGAAAACGCCACTTCCCCGGCTTTCAGCTCCGAACTCTGCCGCAGGCCCCGTCTCCGTGGGCGGCCGCGTCAGTGTTCACTGCCAGCATGTGCTTTTACCTGACGTACTTCATCATTTTTTGATGTACTCTAAATACAACTTGTCAGTGCCGTGCATACTGAAGGGGAAAAGCAGTTCACTTACACCTATCCTTGTACCCTTTGAAACACTGCTTTTTATTTGTTTTTAAACTACAAGGCAAGTCATGAGTAATTACCCCCAAATTACAAATGAGAATTAGGGACCCACACCATGTCACCCAGAAGACAGGAGACAGAACTGTAATTGAAACTGTGACTCCCACGCAGTGTTGTTCATAAACCACTCTCTGATGATCTGCTCTCATGGGAGATAGAAAATTTGATTGAAAAAAAAAATCGAATTCTTGACTTTAAGTATTTGTTGATTGAAACTACTAAATATTCTTCTACCACAAATGTCTTTAAGAAAAAACAAATTGGAGGTTTAAAAATTCTTTTTAAACAGTCCCAGCACAGAATATTTTATTTCCCTGATATGATCTTCTTGCCAAAGATGTTACTGGTGGAGGGCTGGGCCATGTCCAAGGGGCACTGCACAGGAAGTGGAAGGCGACCTTGCTCACACTCAGGTACATCTGCGGACATGTGGGTGCTCCCGACCCAGAGGCCCTCCCTCCCCTTTCTGGAGAAGGCAGCTCCTCACCTGCAGGACTCTCAGTGTCCAGACCCTGTATCAGGGTGAGTGAAAACGTGCCTTTTCCTATACGTCCACATCATGGCCCTTTAATCCTGTGGAGACCCCTCCCAAGGCCCACCAGCCTTTCCTCTGGACCCCCAGCAGGCGGACCTCCTCTCTGGGAAGCTGTACCCAACAACCTCAGCATGGTGACCATCCCTGGATGAATACAGGCTAATGATAGGAGGTGGTGGCCCC